GACCATAATATTTACGAGGTATGAATTATATAATTTTTATAAGCACGTTCCCCGATGCCAACGCAGCTTAATTTACTCGCACGCTCACGCACACATGTTTACTTTGTATAGAGTTTATTATTATCATTTTTTATGGACAGAGACACAGATACGGACATGGACATGGTCATGGACACGGTGGAAGAGGAGGAGCAGGACACGGAGCAGAAGTCGGAGTCAACGATAAAATTTATTTACGCCCGACGCTGGTGCTCACTTTTGATGGGCTTTTTATGGTCTCTCGGTCAGGGAGTCATTGCGGCTGGGTATTTGGCTTTCATTTTTCATACCGTATTTTTTCGCTTAGCATATGTTTGGTCAGTTGCATAATTCAGAAATACGTAAGGGGACTCACACTCTTCAGCAGGCACTGGTATCGCTTTTGCATCTTCAGGGGAAACATCTTCTCGGCCTTTGCCAGCTGCACTTGGTATTTCGCCATCATCTTCATCTTCTGGTCATCAGGATCCACTGGTTGCAGGGGTTGCATGTAAGGGAAGTGGCTGTAAATATATACAATTTTAATAAGTCAAATTCAAACATTCCAACTTTAAATCGTTTATATTTTAATTAAAATATTACGATTATTAAAAGCCCTGTTTAAATACAATTTTAATACTATTTAAAATGTATATATTTATTTGATCCTTATTATTTTTGTAAACTATATTGTACTTACGTGGCTTCCATTTTTTTAAGGCAGTGAAGAAACTGCTCATTGGTAGCAAAGTCCTTCCGGTGAATGCGACTTTTCCCCACATAACATTTCTTTTTTCTCCCCTAAATAGAAACTTAAAATATTTTTAAAACCTTGACAGCCAAGTTGTTGAAAACGACGCACCTGGATAATGCCTGCGGATTTAAGGACTCTTAACGATTTGGTCTTACAATTGGGCGGATCGGGATATTGAGTGAGTCCGTGGCCAATATTGTGCTCGGCTGCCTTCAGAACGGGCTCAATTAGCTCATCAATTATCTTGCCCACTCTCACCAGCTCATTGCGACATTCTGTAAAAGAAAATAAATACATTACACGATAAGACTGTTGCAGAGAAATAATTTAAGACAAATTATACTTCCTATTGCCAGTTAAATTAGTTCGATTATTAAAGGTTTTAGTTGAAAATACTAGAGTTAAATATTTCAATTAATTTAAAAAGTTGTTTAGTTTTGTCGTTTAAATTTGTTTTGACTGGACAATCCCTTACCCTGTGGCGTTCGGAACGCATAATGATCGCCGGGTGTAAATTTCTCCTTTTTGCGCTGTGTATTTATGTTGTTTACCCGCATGTGACGGGCAGAAGGAGTTCGATAGGCTCCAATTAATTCCGAGGGCGACCCGTGCAGACGCCTCAATTGATTTGTCCACAAGGAAGAGCTGGTGCCACATCCCGGATAGAAGATCCGAACCCGCCGGTTACAGTAGATTTCCAGGAGTTGGCTGGTCATTTCGTAGATTTCCTGCTCACTGGGCCGCACTGACAAACGCGTTGAGGGGGGTGTCAAATTTTTAATAATGCACACTGAATAAATATGAACGCTTATTTATTACCGACAGTCATCCATTTGTCAATCCAGGGAAATTGATTACAAGCTGCAAGGTAAAAAATGAAAACAAACCAATGGTAAAAAATGAAATTGAAAATCGCATTTAATATTTGCCCACGAATATGACATGGGTCTGTCTGCACTTTTCAAATTTGATTTTTACCCTTTTTTCGTGACTTTTGCCGCGCCTGAAAGGCATCGCAAATAGGTTTGTTTGTGCAACATGAAATTGTTTTAAATAAAAGTCACGGCAGCAGAGTTCGATTTTTAACTGATTAAACTGGAATTAATTTCCATTTGGGGCCTTCACAAACGGAATTCCCCGGGGCTGATTGGGCATCTCTCTGGCTATCTGTGGCGACGGCATTTCATACGTTTGTTTGTCGCATTTGCATGCTAATGTCTATCGAAAAACACGCTTTTATGCTATTGTGTAACCGGATCCCTTATTAGACAACACCCACTGGGATGGCGCTTCCATTCTGCCATTAAATATTAAAAAACTAGACACAAAAATGAAACATTTTTATTACAAACTAGCAACAGAGGCGAGACTGAAGAGAGATATTCTTGTATGGTGGGTATATGCGTTAGCAGGGTTCTCTTTTCTTTTAAGTTTTATGTTTACCATGGATATTTTCAATAAATAGGGTATTTTGATCTTACACCAAATATTTTAAGTGCTAGAAACGATATAGAAAATTGAGACAAGATACTAAATAAAACCTTCTTTGGTTAATATAAGAATCCTTATTTATTAAGTTTTAATACTCATGGTCTATGAAAAAAATTTCTCTAAAAAGTATATGTCATATAAATAGTCCTATATTTATTACATATCCATATATTAAGGACTAGCCAATTTCACCTTATTTCCCGAAGAGTATACAACTAAAAAAAACGGAAACATAAAAATGTTCCATGTAAATGCTAAATAAAACACTATGATAAACATGTTGTAGAGTCACTCGACCCGCCCTTCGTCCTTCGTCCTTCCCCAGCACAACCCCCTCCCCCATTTGCCCCCTGAGTGCCCTGCACTCCCAAAGGATATTCAAATAAATGTCATACGCATTTGTTTTTCGGTTTTACCTTTTTTTCTCATTTCGGTTATAAAATTTTATGTTAAAAGGATAATGTTTGGAATTTTTATGTTTACAGGTGAACAATTTTCCAGCGAGCTGCGCTGTGGGAGCACGGAAAATGTGGAGACGGAAAAATAGGGGAGCAGCCAAGAAGGAATTGGGAGTTGGGAGAAGGAGGCGCTCCAGTCGGGGCATGTTTTCGCATTTAATAAAGTATTAAGTGTTATGTTTTTGCGGTAAAGTTCTCACTCATTGAATAACACGAAATGTTTGGCAATTTGTTTGGGCTTCCCCTATCCCCACCACCTGAGGTAATGCGCAAATGCTGTTTAACTTAATTGTCAGTCGTGGCTGCGGTTTTTTCCCCCAACCAATTTCTTACTTACCCGTGGAATCAAAGTTGTACGTATGATCTTTGGCATCGCGCAGCATCTCAAACTGCTCCGGCATGATAATGTCCTCCAGTTGAAGGTCCTGCAGGCTGTCATCATCGCACTCATCATAATGCTCTTTGACATTATCCAGATCGTATCTGTGGAAGTCGAACTCGCGATTGCAGCGTCCTACAATTTTGTCGGTTTGCATGTGGGCTGTGGGGTAACCAGAGATTAAAATATAGATCTTGGACCATAATTAAGGACCCTCACATATCTTCTCCTCCAGAAACTCCCTGACAGGATCCAGGGGCAGCTGGTCGAAGCCATATTTCAGGTCGAAGAAGGGGCAGTCGTTCAGCTGCCGCTTTTCGCCCTTCTTTTGAGCCTGCGAAACGCGTGGCAGATGGAGTGTTCGCCCCCTCCTCAGCTTATCGTCCTGCAGCCGAGGATCACAGTAAGGACGTCGTTCGGGAGCTAGCTTCTTCTGCATCCTGAGGACATGGAGTGGTCGGTGTGTGTGCGGGATCCCTCCGTCAAAGTCGGCCTGCTAACGATTCGTATTCAAAGCCAACACAACGAAACACGATTTCTAGTCTGCTTTCATTTGTTTCACTCAGTGCGGGGCATACTTTTCTCCGTCGAGAAAAATTGAAAAACACACCCTACAGCTCGGATGGCAAAAGTTTGCACAGCAGCAGCGAAATATTTGCGGGCCAGCTATGAACGTGAAATGTTTACAAACAAAGTCGAGGCCCAGGCAATGGGCATGGCCATGGCCATGGCAACGGAGGAGCCGGGGCCAGGCACACTGGAACCCTGGAAGCCTGCAACCGGGGGCGTACGTGTAACCCGGCAACCAGGACCGGCTGCAAAAGCCGCTACTGTTACTGCAGATACCCCGACACTCCGTCAATGCTCGCCTTTCAACGTGCTCCGCTCGCTCAGCTCGATAATATTTGATATTTGTGTCTGGCTCCGGAATGGCTTCCCATTGCTCCAACTGCAGTCACACGGAAAAAAAGAAGAGTGATTTCAATGAGTTAGAAATTTAAATAAAATATCATTTTATAATAAGAATCAATAAGAATTTATGGAAAAAGCAGTGCCGCCAGTTTATATTTTTCGGATAGAAATGTTCTTTTTATCTTTTTTATATTTATCCTGATAGAATTTAAAGCATAAGGATAGCAACTATAATGTCATCCTCTGCTAATTAAAAAAAAATATGTAAAGACTTTAATTCGAATTGTTAATTCATAGGATTGCTTTATTTTTTCCTATGGCTAAATGGAATGTCAAAATTTGAAATACATAATGGTTAAGTAAAAATAATAAACAATGAAAATAAATCATGTTGGTTATGGATTACAGACTAAGTCCCTGCAATCAAACGAAATATAATTAAAATTGTGATAAACGTTTAAATTCCCAAAGATGAATGATATAATTAAGTGCAAATCGAAAATATGATTTAATATTTTTTCAAAGTGCCGAGCAAAGCACACGGAGCAGGCAGGTAACGCGGCAGCTTTTCTCGAATTGTGCACACATTTTTCAATAAAGCGCTGCAACTGCAGAAAAGCTGGTCCTAGTGTTGCTCCTGCCGCTGCTTCTGGCATTCTGTGTATTTATTATCCCATCTGTCTGGCGAAAGGAGCAGCCCAGCAGTCGTCATTGAACCTGATGATATGTTGACAATGATGGAAAATAATAATACTCGTCCAGGGCTCGGCATGTTCAGAGCTCCCTAATAGGGTTGCAGCTCAATGGGGATTCCCATCCATAATGCTCCGAGGCAGCATAATCATGAGCCGATTTTGCTAAGAGATCCCATTCGCATTCGAGGAGCTGCGTTAATATGGGCTTTAACGAGGACCTCTTACGTTTGGTATGCTTAAATTTGCAATTAGCGCAACAATTAATTGTGACAAATTAATTGGAAATTTGATCAATGGGCAATTGTGGTCGCCTTACCTTTGTGGTCTTCCCCGGCACAGGCATTCAACTTTGGCCAACTTTGACCAACTTTGAGGGCGGAGTAAGTGCAAATGCGGTTGCCACACATGCGACGCAGATAGAGCCATCATGTGTGCGTTCGTGGTGACAAGTCGTGGGAATAGGTGGGCATGCGAAACCATTATCGCAGGCCCAGGAACAGGATCCAGGAGCCACAGACCTGGATTCAGGTCATCCGCCTGTCACGTGCCTAAGCGCCCTGGCCAAACGCAATGCAGGTGCCACCGACAGGTCCTTTGGGTACACCGACAGGGAGTGGGGTTTATAACCAGCTGCAGTGCATCCAAAGCTATGCGTGACAAATATTTATTAACTGCCACAACAGCGGGCAGCGGCTTAGAGGATTGATCTTGGCTCGGGGAGCTAATAAAAAATTGATTTCGCCTTCGTCAATTGTCACAAATAATGATTACCACGCATTTTCGACTCCATGACACGCATCAAATTGCATTTAGTTCGTCATTGGCCTTTGGTTGGGTCGAGGGGAGGGGGGTTTGGCTTTGGGTTTGGGCTTTGGCAAACAAAAGACCGTAATGCGACGGCTGTCAGTCACGTGACTTCATTGCTGAAAATACACAAAGGGGAGGACAACATCATTATTAACGAAGTCAACGAGCAGCAACAAAAGTCCGGAGCCTGTGAGTATGCAACACTTTTCACCGGAACGGAAATAAGTCGAATCCAATCATACCCTAAGAAGCTTAACTTCCAGGGGATGTGTGTGCGAGGCGCCAGTTTCTGGAGTGTGAGGAGGTATGAAATTGGATATGCGTTCGCTCCAACACAAAAGGAGGAATAAATCTTGGTAGAAAAGCAGGAAATAAATCACTGGCGATGTAGTAAACGGAAAATATGAAAACTTTGCATTGGCACTTTAAGAATTGAAATAAAGGCTTAAGTCAAGGCTTTGCCCCAATAAAAAAATCTATTAATTATTAAGTTGTTTATGATATGTGCCTTAAATTTGTTCTGAGCAGAAAAGCTGCATATTTGTATTTTTTGGTTTCATTGAAAATTCTTTAAGGAGTTAACTTGAGGTGGTATGAGCTATGAAATTTATAAATATTTTATTTATTCTTGTTACATATTAAAAGCTTAAGAAAAGCTACAATCAAAAAGATTTTATTTTAGCAATTGTTGGAAATTTCAATTATTAAAAAATAACATATCTGACCATTTTGTGACTTCAATATTTGCAAAAATAAAAGCCAATTGATTGGTACTTACAAGTTAGACAAGAAGAATACAGTATACTTTTGCCGTAAACCATTACATTTGAGTGTGAAGTCAGTAAGAGTACTTGTAACAAAATGTTTGAAGATTCCGCAAAACTCTCTTTGATAGAGTATAATTAAAGAACTGCCTCGTCAAGGCAAAGTTTGCTCGTTCTTTTTCTGCCCACTCTCTCTTTTCCGCTCCATCCACCCATTGTTTATTTGCCTCGATTCTGTATTTTTTCCCGTTTTCTGCCATGGCGAATCGCATTTTGTCCACGTGATTAATGGGCAGCGCTGGAAGACGTCGCGACTTGAAAAATTACATTCAAAATAAACGACAGAGGCGTCGTGGTCGGCGTTTTAAAACGGCCCGTCACACGTGAAAGGGGGATGGAGTAGTGTATTGGGGGGGGTGGGAGGTCAAAGGGCGCGAGTTGGGAGATGGGAGTTGGGGGGCGAAGGATAAGAAGGCCAGTGGCAGTGTCGCATATCAGGCAGCACGTAAAAGATGCAACAGGAGCGAGAGCAAACACCGTGTGATTTACACGCAACCCAAGAGAGTGGGAATGGGGGGGGAGGTGGAAATGGGGTGGCACTGGTCGGGGGCATAGTGCAAATTAGGGGTTGTCGCTGCCGTGCAGGCAACGCACTCTGTTGTCAATTGAAAACGTGCCAACAATTTGCAACGACGATTAATCGTGCGACCAAACTGGGAGTTCCAATTGGCAGTGTCTGCTGCTGGTCCTTCGTCGGCTACTCCACCTCCTGTCCAAGGATCCCACTGTCTGGGATCGTCCTCTCACAGCGGAACCGTGCATGTTGCGCCGCATTTGCAGCTCTGTTTACGACCAAGTTTGCCCTGCGTTTGACTAATTTGTGTGGGCGCTATTATGCATGGCTGGGAAATGGAAAATGGGAAGGGAAATGGAAATGGTGGCGAAGGTTAAGCCAAAGGTGGGCTGCCGACTTAAACCCGGACAGACGTCTGATGAGCACTTAATTCCCGGTCGCTAATTGGTTCCAAGATGAAGGACCACGCACCGGTGGGATGATCAAGCTCGGAAGTCAGCTGCGGCTTTAAGCCAGCTTAAATCACGGCTATATTTATGGTAGGTTAATTATCGGTATTCGCTTAAATTTTAATCAATTTTCATCGCTAATATTTCTTCCTCTCCTGTTTTATGTTATCATTAATAATGAATATAATTATGGAATGTCAAAGTGGGTAGAACGAAAAAAAAGCGTGAAATACAATCGCTTTATACGGATGCAAATACAGACGCAGAGATACTGTGAGCGGGCCATCATTAAAGCTTTTGTATGCAATTACATGCCGCATTGGGCAATCATAAATTAGCTTTGCAAAAGTGCGATAAAAAATATACGGCGAAATTCAATTAAATTATAAAATGTGCAAAAATTTAATGCCTATAATGAAAAGTAGGCCCAGCTCATACTCGCATTAATCATAACAGTTTGCAGCTCACTTTTGCTGACCTCTCATTTCACATTGCTAAAAAACAATATATTGGCTACTGAAATCTGCCCACTGTATATTCATATTTGTTTTAAATGTCAACAATCATCAATGCAAATTCACTGTAAATATGGCCAGTCATTCCTGATTTATCTTTGAACCGTCACATCAATTGCGATCGAGTGACATCTGATGGAGGGAAAAATGTGTATCGAAGTGGAAACCGCAACGGTGTTAAAGATATAGATATTTATGAATACCTGATAACCTTAACTATTCAGTTGACCTCACCAATTAAACGGATTATAATTGGAAATACATTTAATATAGCTTGTGACAAAATCAATGTTTAATATATAGAAAATAAAAAGGACAAGCCAAATTATTGTTAACATAGAAAATCGAATTTTTCCTTTGTAGAAACATAACAATTATAATTAATACTCCAGTCATTTTTGCTTTTCCTAAAAAGTTGCAGTAGTTGGTAGCTGAGTGTCGATATTGTTTTATTAAGTCCGTAAAACTAAGTTAAAAATTCGTTTGAATATATTTTCTGTTCTTTCCGTTTTTGATGAGAATAGATACCGAAATTTGGTTTATAAATTTAATTATTGGACGAGCAACTTTAAGGGCAGGAATAACGTTGCGCTTAGCTAAGCATTTTCTGCGATCTCCGATAAAATGTTCGACCCGGGTAAATATTTGTGCGAATATCTGCCGGATAAACCATGAAGCCCAACTATGTGTGTCCATGTGGGTGTTTTCTGTTTTCTGGGGCATGTGTGTCTGCGAATAAATTCTGCAATGCGTAGCTCAAAATTTCCAACACTAAATTGTTATGGTTTTTAGTCTTAAAGATAAATGTACTTAGCCAGGAGCCGGAGGACTAAGATTCGGTGTCGGTTCATGGTAAAGTTTTGCATATGCCCGAAAATATTTACTCGTGAGGAGATTGTTTAGTTAAACCGTAAAAAGACTGCCATGTCCTGGGTGATTCGGGGTTGCCCTGTCGTCTGCCAGAGACAATGTAACATTTAAGAAAATTTAAGCCGCAGGCGACTTAAAAACGAGACGAGTCCCTTTTTGTCAGTGGTCCTTTTAGCCGGGCCATATGATTTAGCCATTCTGTTGTTGCTGCCATTGTTGGGGATTTGGCTTGCCGTTGCCGTTGCCTTTGCCTTTGCCTTTGGATTTTTTGCTCATTGTCTTCGGAAAGCCCGAAAACAGCGAGACCAAAGTGGATGGCCAACTAGGGCCAAAGCCCGGGATAGATGGATGGACAGGCAAACAATTGTTGTTTGTATCCTGGTTAGCTTTGGCCAAGGATCTGCTGCTGCTGCTGCGGCTGCTTTGGCTGCTGTACAAATTAGTTTCTAATACCTTCAAGTCAAACAGTGGACCCGGAGACCTTTGCCGGCAGGGCAAACAGACAGCCGGGCAAACACTGGATCTGTGGATCAAATCGGGCTTGGTCAAAGTCGGCCCACCTCCCGGCACAAGTTTGCCAAATCACTTGAGCGTGTTTATGAAATAACGTTGACTCGAGTCTATATATTTTGGGGGCGTGTTTGTGTGCCTCTGTGCCGGGCGCCTAATTACAAAACTCATTCGTTGTCGATTGATTCCACAGCAAATGGTATTTTAAATAGTTTCGCTTAGTTTCACTTAGCCCCATTTAAAGTCCACTTCAAAGCATCGCCCCCAAGATTGCGTAATGATGCAGACGCTCCTTGGACCGAAAGTTGGACCGAAAACAGAACCACAAGACCATGTGGCGGGTTTAATGAGCTAACTGATTCTCTCGATTCCTCGCACACCGTCATCCTCCGTTTATCTTTGGCCAAAAGTTTTAAAATTAATTTTTAATTGTTTATGCAGCAAAAGTTCAGCTCAAGTAAAAAGGAGAAAAACAACTGAAAACAAAGGCAAAAATAAAAACAATTCTTGGAGCACTAAGAAATAATAAAGATACTTTTGCTACTTGTTTGTATTGTGTTGTTTTCTCGAAGGACCTGATGCTGGAAATTAACCAACAAAGAAAATTAGCGTGTCTTAGATCGAGAAGTTAAAAGCTGTCGCAGTTTAAGGTTAAATTTCTGATAATTGTGCATTCTCAAATGTTAGTACATATGTACATAACAAACTGAGACTTGCATTCGAAATTAAAGTTATCAAGGATATATTTTTATTTTTGTCAGATCAGAATTTTTATTATCTCTACTGCTTTTGCCCACGTACTTGGCTCTTTATTTTGAATTGTTCCATAATACGAAATAAATTAAACTTTAACAATGAACATTCTCCGATCTTTGAGGGTTCCTTGGCCCTGAATTAGAACCATAAACGGCAGCTGCTCTTAGCCAACTAACCCAGAGATCTGAGACCTTGCCTTGAGCAGAGTTCACTGTCGATGGCTGGCAGATGTGAATGCAAATTGCGAGCGGTATTCAATAATCGGGGCAACAAAATGCCCATTGATAGCGATCGTGCATAACCGTAAAGTGGGCTGGGAACCCATGGGTATTACGAGCGGGCCATTTGCATAACACTGGCCAAAAAGAGTTGATGGCGCGGTGTCAGCACTAAAAGCAAAAAGCAGCGGAAAACAGAGGCAATGCTTTATAAAAGAAAATTATGCAAATTGCTAATAAATTATAGTGAGCCAGCGAACGACATGTAAAATAATAACAAGCGAACGGAGATGGAGCTGGCGATGGCGATGGCGATGGAGAGTTTTTTGGGAGAAGGAGCGGTCGCGAATTGAATTACAAATGTAAACACAATGCCGCAGGACAGCGCTGGAGAAGGAGCAGGAGCAGGACGAGAGTTCCGGGACTCGACGGATGGGGGCACTGCGAAATCATTAAAATAATAAAGCGCTGTGTTCGCTTTCAAGACGACAACGACAACGACAACGCGATGACGACGCTGACAACGGCGACAAGGACATTAACTGGCGAGCGGATAATGGCGAAACTTTTTGACATTTATTGTGTTTGTGTCGAATGTTTATTTATGATTGCACGCGGCCGGGGTCGGTCCGTATTTACATTACAATGATCAGAAGAGCATAACTAAGGGCCACCGATTCCCGTCTCCTGAATGCCCATCCATACCATCATCGGCTTGTTTGCGTTTGCGAATGCGTATTAAATTAATGATACTTTCTAGTTCATAAAATTCGTTATGCCATGGCTTTGGGCTCTGATTCTGGTTCAGAATCTGTTCAGTGTGCGAATATCAACGTCAAAACACAAATCAAATAATCACATAAATGAGAGCACAACACAAAGATTGAAACAAATTGATTGTCATAAAACATCGTTTATACATATTATAATGTGTCATAGGATGTTCATGCTTCGCTTCATACTTTTGGTAAAAAAGCAGACCGCCAAAAATGTACAGTTGGGGTCACATAAATTGAACCACCATCTGCCACATTTTGAAAATGAGCTGGAAAAAAAATACTCAAGGATTTATTTTGTTAAGTTTTCTCGTGTAACTTATGGAAGTTTAGTTCATTGAAACAATTAAAATTCCTATATTCAAATTTGTAAGCTTCGAATAGTATCCTTTTTACTTAAATTAAATTAGTAATAATAATGAAAAAAATTAACTTTATTATTTGCAGAAAACAATAAATAACATTACTTTATTGTGTTATATATTTCTAATTTGATCTGATAGAAAGTAATAATCAAAATTGTTGTATTTATAAAAACTAGCTTAATCTTAAAATGTTTTCTAAATATGCTTAACTTTTCATTAAATTTAAGAAAATCGACGTTATGGAGGCTATACTGTATTTGCATCCTCATCTCGGTGGTCTGCCATCATTTCACAAGTGGCGATGTGAGTGATTGCTCCTTATCGCCGCTGTCCGGGGATCGGGAGTGGTACGTAAATATATATATTTTTGGGCCCCTTTATGAGGGCGATAGTTCCCCTAGCAACTCTGGCCGAAGTGGAGACCCAAAGCAGGCAAAATTTATGGTTGTTTACAGCAGATTGCACACCCCATTTGCTTTGTTTTGCACTCGCTGCCACTTGACACACATTTTGGGCCAAAACTCAAGATGGCTATATGACGATGACTCTTGAAAAACCGAAAAACTTACGCAGTTTTGTCTCTTTAATTAGTGCAAGGCCGCGGGGCGGGGTGGGTGGCTGGTGAAATGTTCGTAAGACCCTCGGGAGCGCCAAAGTGAAAGTGCCCCACCATCATATGCATGATTTGTGAAAAGTTTCCCCGACCAACTCCAGCTCCTCCTGGCTGGTGCCTTCGCCTCCTCAGCATCCTCCTGCCGCCAGCAAGCTTGTTTTGCCAAGTTTATGAATTTCATAGCCAAAGTTTTTCGGCAGCGCATAACATGCTCCCAACTTGTAAGCTGCTCCGTTGTTTTCACGTCCTCTCCTCCTTTTTGCGAGCAGCATATTTTCGGCGAAATCTTTGATATCCTTGTCGCAAGGAGCAGTTAACGGGATGCGGGCCACAGGACCCACACTTTACAACAACTCTTGCGGGTCATTAAATTCCACCATTGAACAATTAGCCGATTAAGCTGACAGAATGGGTAATCGATGGGGATAGTGTCATTAGTGTTGTCAAGCTATCGGCTAACATTTATTATAAATATATTTAACAAAATTTGAATTCATAAAAGTACTCCGCTTTTCCTCAAAACTCTTTAAAGTGTTAACTTATTTTCGTTTTACAAAAATAAGTCTTTATATTACTCATTGCTCATCAGCCCTTTTTCTTTTAAACCAAAAATAATAATCGATCCTGTTAAAACTTCGCTGTATTTTCTTCCTGATTGTGAGAATTTTAAGATTATACATAAGCTGATTAAAATAGATTGAGTTTTCCAACTTAACTTAACAATCTTAATGGGAAACCAACAAAAAAAACCACAAAATAAAGTATTTATATACTTTTTAAATGTAAAATTAAAACTTATAAGCAATACTTTGCACCCTTCACACATTTCACAGTGACATAAAAAAAGACGAACAAGAATCCTGGACAAATCACAAAACGGAACAAATTAAAACAAATTGGTAAACTTATTAGCAAAAGCCATTAAGAAAATACGATCGTGGTGCCCGTGCGACCTTTTGCCAACTATCAATCTTGAGCGGTTCGTTGAACTCCGAACCGAGTAGTACGCAAATTACCGATAGCCACTTGAGAAATTAACGTTCGAAACTATTAATAAATGCCGAGCTGTGCGAGCAAAACGTGAACGTACGCCGCCATTAAAATGTTCGAATACCATTGTGTTTTTGCATTAGATCTTGTTAAGAGCTCCGATGCTCGCACTTGACCGTGAAACCATATCTTAAGCTATAGCAATAGCAATCGAATCCGATCGAAGCAGCGAACGACAAACGAAAGCGAAACGTAGAGCATTTAGTTCCGCAGTGGGCAATCTTCGTTCAACTCCACCTGGGACAATGGGTTGTATTAACCATATTTTGGTCAAAAACTGTAGCTTAAAATAGCCAGTTTTTCAATGATATGATGAACATATTTTTAATTTATGAAGCTTAACTTGCTGTCAAATTCCTAGTACCTAATAACTGGGAAAGGGTCTGATAGTAATAGACCGAAATAAAAAGATTAGGATATAATAACGAAATATGATTAAAATATTTTAGTTACATTTCTATATTTTTAAACAACAAGTCGAAATCTAAGTACGTCTTTTATTCCGTATCCTAAAAGACATAATTGGTATCAGTTTATTGCTCCTTTATCAGGAATGTAATATCTAAAATACATTTATTGCAAGTTTAATTTGTGTTTGGTTTTTATGATTTCTAAATCATTTTGTGCAATACACTTACCCATTTTTCCACTGTTCTCTGGACCAAACCGGCTACCAGCTGGGCTTAATCTCCACGTGAAGACGAAGCCGGGAGACAGAGACGGAGGCGGGGGCACTTGAGGGCTCGAGTGGCGCATGTTGGGGCTTTGGCCAGATTCATTGCTTTGTTTTTGTTACCGATTCGGAATCGGTTTCGATTTCGGTTTCCGCCGCTGTTTGCCGGCAAACAAAGAGCTGCTCATTGTTTAATTTGAAGCTGGCAAACATTGAAGCGTATAAATATGCGGACAAATTGCGACGATTAATCATTCGACCCATAGATTCCATCGTCAAAGCAATTAGCTTGGAGATCTATAGCAACATGGTGAATATCCCAGCAGCAGGATACCGTAACCTATAGGACTACTCCATCTAACCCCCACTTTTCCGTCCCCATTGCAGAAACTTTTCCTAGCGTGCATCTTTATTGCCGCCGCGACGGCTGCAGTGATTCCTGTCGAACAAGCCAGGCACCGTCGTGACGTCTCCGAGCTCGTGAACGAGTACATCCCGCCGGCGGAGGAAGTTGGCGCCGAGCTGGCCCAAGACCCCGCCGCCCTGGGAGAAGATGGCTACCGCTACAAGACCGTGCGCAGGCTGAAGCTCCGCCACCGCCGTGATGTCTCCGAGATCGCCAACGATTACCTGCCCCCCACCGAGGAGGTTGTGGCCGATGCCCCCGTCGAGGAGGCTCCAGTTGAGGAAGCCAGCCAGGACTCCGCTGTCCTCTCCGCCGATGGATACAAGTACAAGACCGTCCGCCGCCTGAAGTACCGCCAACGCCGTGATGTGTCCGAGATCGCCAACGAGTACCTGCCCCCTTCGGAGGAGGTCGTCACCGAGACCCCTATTGAGGAAGCTCCAGTTGAGGAGGCCTCTCAGGATTCTGCTGTCCTTGCTGCCGATGGTTACCAGTACAAGACTGTGCGTCGCCTAAAGTACCGCCAGCGTCGGGATGTTTCTGAGATCGCCAATGAATATCTGCCACCTACTGAAGAGGTTGTTGCTGATGCCCCAGTTGAGGAGGTTCCAGTTGAAGAAGCTAGCCAGGATTCCGCAGTCCTTTCCGCCGATGGATACAAATACAAGACCGTCCGCCGCCTGAAGTACCGTCAACGTCGTGATGTCTCTGAGATCGCCAATGAATATCTGCCCCCCACTGAGGAGGTTGTTGCTGATGCTCCAGTTGAGGAAGTCCCAGTTGAAGAAGCTAGCCCGGATTCTGCTGTTCTTGCCGCTGACGGTTATCAATACAAAACTGTTCGTCGCCTGAAGTACCGCCAACGTCGTGATGTTTCTGAGAACGCTGGTGAATATCTGCCACCCACTGAAGAGGTGGTTGCTGATGCCCCAGTTGAGGAGGTTCCTATTGTGGAAGCTAGCCAGGATTCCGCCGTTCTCTCCGCCGATGGGTACAAGTACAAGACTGTGCGTCGCCTGAAGTACCGCCAACGCCGTGACGTTTCCGAGATCGCCAACGACTATCTGCCTCCTAGTGAGGAAATTGTTGCTGATGCCCCGGTTGAAGAAGTTCCGGTTGCGGAAGCTTCTCAGGATTCGGCTGTTCTTTCTGCTGATGGATACAAGTACAAGACCGTCCGCCGCCTGAAGTACCGTCAACGTCGTGACGTTTCTGAGATCGCCAACGAGTACCTTCCCCCTTCGGAGGAGGTCGTCACCGAAGCCCCCATTGAGGAAGCTCCAGTTGAAGAGGCCTCTCAGGATTCCGCTGTCCTTGCTGCCGATGGATACCAGTACAAAACCGTGCGTCGTCTTAAGTACCGTCAGCGTCGGGATGTGTCTGAGATCGCCAACGAATATCTGCCTCCCACTGAGGAAGTTGTTGCTGATGCGCCAGTTGAGGAGGTTCCTATTGTGGAAGCTAGCCAGGATTCCGCTGTCCTTTCCGCCGATGGATACAAGTACAAGACCGTCCGTCGTTTGAAGTACCGCCAGCGACGTGACGTTTCCGAGATCGCCAATGAATATCTGCCCCCTACTGAGGACGCCGCCACCGAAGCCCCCATTGAGGAAGCTCCAGTTGAGGAAGCTTCTCAGGATTCCGCTGTCCTTGCTGCCGATGGATACCAGTACAAGACCGTGCGTCGTCTTAAATACCGCCAGCGTCGGGATGTGTCCGAGATCGCCAACGAATATCTGCCTCCCACTGAGGAAGTTGTTGCTGATGCGCCAGTTGAGGAAGTCCCAGTCGAAGAAGCTAGCCAGGATTCCGCTGTCCTTTCCGCTGATGGCTACAAGTACAAGACTGTCCGCCGCCTGAAGTACCGCCAGCGCCGTGATGTTTCTGAGATCGCCAACGAGTACCTGCCTCCCACTGAGGAAGTTGTGGCTGATGCTCCAGTTGAGGAAGTCCCAGTCGAAGAAGCTTCCCAGGATTCCGCTGTCCTTGCTGCCGATGGATACCAGTACAAGACCGTGCGTCGTCTTAAATACCGCCAGCGTCGGGATGTTTCCGAGATCGCCAACGAGTACCTGCCCCCTTCGGAGGAGGTCGTCACCGAGGCTCCCTTGGAGGAGGCTCCCGTTGAGGAAGCTTCTCAGGACTCCGCTGTCCTTGCTGCTGATGGTTACCAGTACAAGACCGTGCGTCGCCTGAAGTACCGCCAGCGCCGCGATGTGTCCGAGATTGCCAGCGACTACCTGCCGCCCACCGAGGAGGAGGTGGCTGCTGATGCGCCCGTCGAGGAAGTGTCCCAGGACTCCGCCGTCCTCGGCGACGAGGGCTACCGGTACAAGACCGTGCGCCGCCTGAAGCTGCGTCACCGCCGCGCCCTGTAAGCTTGAATTCCAACGTCTATACCTGTACCTGAACTGCTCGTTCGCGACTAGAAGCACTCACCCCCACCAACCACTACTAGGCCGTAAGTTTTGCTATTATTTAACGATTGAAATCAACGAATAAATCCAACGAAAATTGTTATACCATAACCCGGCTGTATTTGTGTATATCCGACTGTGGGGCATACACCCCAAGGGCCACGCACCTGTTGGGAATGGGACTTGGACTCGATTCCATAAATTGTGTACCTTTTCGCTTAGTTATGACAGCAACAGTTAAGCTCATGGCTCAGCGCACAAGAACGCAATTATCCAAAAACGAGGTGGATGAGGGCGAAGGTGAAGGGTCAGCGGGTTGGTCAGGACTCGACCCTGGATCCTGTCCCGTGTCCTGGCACCTTGCTCCCAGCCAGGCGCAACTTCGGCGAACTCCAACAAATACTTTAAGCTATGCTTTTGAAGATGTTAATCTCATGTCAAGTCCACTTTACACACAACGTTAAGGGTTTGCCCTGGCCTGCCATGTCCTTCTCAGCCCCTTTATCCCTGCACTGAAAGAAAACTTGAGTAATTGTTACTCAGAAATGTTGAATATCAACAGGGGATTTCTATATCGAATTCAATTTAAATACGGGATATCTTATATTTAAATTTCAGATAATTTCAGTGTTTCATAAAACTATCAAAATTAAATTTGTTTTCATTCATTTTAATAATATTAATTCTCAGTGCTCTCACCCGCCAGGAACAAAGTCACCCATTGATTTGTGAGAGTGTGTGTGGGTGTGGGGTTGTTTGGTGTTGGCAGCAGCAGCAAAAAAAAAGTTGTTAAGTTAAAAGGCATTTGAACCGCAGCGAGCCAAGGATTTCGGTCAGCGCTCCTTTCTGGGATCTAACAACTTCCTTTGCACGCGCCTCCAACGAGGAGGTCGGCCAAGGGGGTGGGGCGCGGGGGGTGGGACCGTTGGACAGACCAACTAATAATAATTTATCGATCCCCCAGCCCAAGTAGTCACATACGTGGGTCGCCCTATGATTTATGGCAGCCAGGGACTTGAGTGGGCGGGTTCAGAAAGGGGAGGTCCTGGCAGGTCCTAGCACAATCCAAGGTGCCAGACTGGCGGCCAGCGCAGTGCCAAATTGGTTTAATGTGTGGTTAGACAACTTATTTAACGTTTTCAAGTGGTTAGCGCCCACACAATCTCGCCCAGCCAGATGTGGAGCAGGGACAGTCAGTCAGCGATTCGGGCACTCAGGTGGCCCGGCTCTCATTGCCCGCGGGCAGGTGTGGATACACTACGACAATTACTTTTAACAGACCTTTGAAGTATTGTTTTGAACAAATAAATATTTAATGTAAGTGTTACGTTTAGTAAACCCCTTTTTTATTGAAGTAAAATCGAAGAGAAAATAGCATAAATAATATAAAATCAAGAATGATTTAAGTTAAAGCTCAACTTTACTATTTATTGAAGTAAAATCGAAGAGAAAATAGGCTAAATAATATAAAATCAAGAATGATTTAAGTTAAAGCTCAACTTTACTATTTAGTTTCATTCTTGTTTTAGTGACTATTTCTTAAATCATAAGGTATATTGAAGATGTTACCCTTAAATCCTGTTAAACCCTTACTCCTAAATAAATCCTAGATTTTAAAAATATAGTTTTTCTGGTAAGGATATGAATCTAGACTTTTTTTACCATAGCATAAAAATGATTTTTAGAAACTTTATGGAAATAAGAAATTATTATATGTGTATGGCTTAAAAATGATTACTAACATACTACGGACTATCGCATCGCTTACTCTTCTATTAACAAATGAATTGCGATTTGGTACTCAATTTTTTTCGACTGTACTTCGTTTTGTTGCGTTTTGTTTGGACACATAAATCATGCAATGCCGTTATTTACTCTTTGTCGGCCGGCAAACTGGTTACGTATGCCACTATCTGCGGTATCTACAAGTGCACAAGCCCCCAGGCTGACGCCTCCACTCGGAGGGGGTGGGGGGTTACCCAATTCGGAATGGAGCATAAATCAGTTGAAGCCATTTTGTAAGCACGCCATCAAGGCGAAATTATGACATCATTAAAACAATTATCTGCGCTAAATTATACGATCTGATAAGTCGCGACAAGACCCACTCCCAAAAATATAGTTTCTTTTCGAGGGGGAAAATCACATAAAAATTTTATGAATTATTTCAAATATTTTCAATTACCAAGGGTTCAAGCCGAAGCCAAAGCTGTGGAGTACCGCATAAATAGATTTATGCTCCACTCGAGCATGGCACATTAACAGGACATTCCAAGGAGCAGCGACAGTAATGAAAGTGAAATTATGGCTTTCGACCCTGACCCGATGGCAACTGCCTCAAATTTTAGCTTGATTAAAATTCAAAAAGTTCCCGGTCACATGCTCGGCCATAATTTATCACTTAATGGCCTCTCGTTATTAAAGTGGGTGTAATTTGTTGATCCAAATGTCGAAGCAAAATCAATTCATGTCGCTGATTAGCTTGACTTTCCATTTTAACCACATGCAAATGGAACGATCCCAGGACTAAGATAAGATGTCAAGATTTCATTTGCCGACCATTATGACATCTGTTACATAGGGGAAAAATTTGTGTACAATTTCACTTCTTAAGAACTAATAAGAACTACATTAAAAATATAACGAATTGTTATGATAGTATAAACAGTATTAAAGAGGATACATTGTCAAGTGGATATAAGATTTTGGAACTCCCTTTTATTAGTATGAAAATAAAGTCTATGTTTCATGTAACACCATAATTTTTGTGTGCAGCACCAATATTAAGTAGTAAAACATGGAATTCTTGAATATCCCATTTCTTTCTGTGCAGGGACGTGGACATGAAAATGGACATGGCTATATCTATCTGTGTGGTAAACATGGTGCAGCAACTTTATGACCACAATATAATTTATTCAATGCCATTTGGGGAGCCAAAGGAGGAGACAGGCAACAGCAAGACAAGCAATTGACATTTTTGTGACTTTTGAAAACTATAAAATGTGCAGCTCGGAACATGGAACATGGAGCATGGCAACTGGCAAATAGCGAACAAGCCAAGGCAAGGGCATAATGATGACGGGCATAAAGACCGCACAACAGACAGCTGGCTATGGCTATATGGTTATACATATAGAGACCGGCTAAGCCGGGCATAAAAATAGCCCCGGCAGAGTCTGTAGTTGTTGGACAAAATAATAAAGTTGCGCTTGATTATGTGTTGGCCTCGGACACAAAGAAGTAAATACAAATACGCCGACAACTAGACTAAAATTGTCAGGACTTACAGGACATTACACGTCCGCCCACGAGGATCTGATGGCCACAGGACCTGGGCCATTTGTCCAGCTCGTCAACAGACGGCCAACCACCGAGCAGCAACACCAACATCAACACGACCGGAGGAGCGTATGCCGGATATCCCTTTTGACATGTCATTAAATTTTATACACACAATAATTTTTCACAATTTGCTTTATGGCCATTTTAAGAGTCTGCCCGAGTTGAAAATTCTCCACACGCCCAGGAAAACATCGACACCCCCGACAAAGGTTGAGACAATGATATAGACACACATCAAATACTTCAAGTTTTCCTCGGCTGACCGGTGAAAATGATGAATGGACAGGGGCCAAATGCTTAGGGTCAACAAAATAAGATGGAATTGATATAAAATTGGTGTAGAACATTCAATCACTCACTGGGTGAGGTGAGCTTATGTTTCGACTCAAGAGTTGTTCTCAGATGTTGGGCAAATTGAAAATTATTTGCACATTCTCAATGAATTGATGTAGCGTTTTGCATACATAATAAGGGAAATAGCTTTGTTTGGCATTCCTTTAAAGGTTCATTGTTACTGGTTTGGTTAAAACTAATCAAGATTATTACTTTAGAGTGGGGAATTTACAAGATGAAAGCTATTTTGACACGGGAAAATATGAGTTTTTCGATTCTGTTTAGATACTGCTAACATATATACTATATTTAAAGTACTTGCATGAATTCTTGTCAATCAAAATATAGATTCATTATAAATGTCAAACCTTGGCTGTTTAAATATTTAAAAGCCCAAACATTTAACAAATCGATATTAAATAATCTCAGTCTAGTATGTAATTTGAAAACAAATTACAAATTCAGGCTGTTACATTTTCTATAAATATTACATTTAATTTCTTGTTACTTAAAATGATTTATTCCGTCTTTGACTTAGAGTGCTAGGTGTATTAAACCCACACCCAATTTATATTTTAGCTCTTAATTTCAGCTTTGTTTGCGACTGAAGCCAAAGCTCCTAACTGTCCTACTCCAATGAAACGCACTGTATGATTATTTGTAATCATCTTTCGGAAGGCAAACATCAAACCGCAGAACGATTATGGCAACTCTCTACGGTCGTAAGCTCCGAATGTGGGGCCACAAAGGCAGAAGGATCCGCATCCGAAGGACACTTGGCTGTACTGTATAATTTTACGGCCATTAAGTATTATTTCAAAATCGAATCGAGTCACACTAAGCCTTTGTTTGTTTGTGTCCGGTGTTTCTAGATTGCTGAAATTATAGCCTTTATTATGATACACCGATGACCGGGCCAAGTGCCGGAGTTGTTAAATTGGCTTAAGGTGGAATTATAGAGTACCGAAACGAATCGATCCAAATCGATACTAGGGCAATCACAGGGGGAGAAGCAGTCAACCCAAACAGATAGATATCCCCACAAAATGCAAAGCGAACTTGAAAAGACTAGAAAACGGGGGGAAAACTTGGCGGGGAACTGCACTTCCCGACTTATTGCCCCGCCCCTCGCCATCCTGCTAGTTAGCCATACATATGTGGTTGTCAACCAAAGCCAAGTCACTCTCTGGCAATAAAGGAAATCTTCTTACAAAACATTCGCTTAAGTTTATTCAAACAAACTTAGATAACACTCGAAGAATAAGGAGACTGAGCCGGAGATGGAATGGATGGGGGGGGCGGTGGTTAAGGGAGACGGAGACATCCGGAGCAGGAAACAGGGAGCAGAGACAAAGGAGCCACCAATCAGTCAGGCGGAATAAGCATCACCGCACGAGCCCTCAAACTTTTCTTCGTCCCTTTGCCCATTC